CAGCATGTGTGTTACTGTTACATGAGAAACTATCTGTTCTGTAAGCCTTCACCTGAAGTACAATAAAATATTAAAAAAAAAAAAAAAAAGAGAGATTTATTGTAAGTAACCGGTGTATGTGATAGTGGGGATTGCTCAAAATCCATAGGGCACTTGACAAAAAGGGCAAGTTGGAATTCTCCTGTATGAGCTGAAGCTACTATGCACAGATAGAATGTATTCATCTTTGAGGAATCCTCAATATACTCAAACTATTTGTACAAATAATTTGGTTAATGCCGAATACCTTCTTTCCTTCTTGGAGTCTGAAATTTTGATATATGCTAAACAGCGTGTGCCTTCATGACCAGCACCCAAAAGAAGACTTGGGCACTGTGTCTGTAACGAGCTTCCCTAGTAGCTATTTTAGATTGCTACATATGGACGCTGAAGGAATTTAATGTCATGTGTGTTCCAAACTTGGAAGTTTGTGCCTGGTTTCAACTTCACCACACGTGCTTTTTCCCTTTACTCATTTTTTATTTTGTATCCTTTCACTGTAATATAGTCATGGATATAACTATATACTGTCTTGTGAGTACTCCTAGTGAATCTCAGATCCCGGATGTGATCTTAGGAACCTCTGACACATCACGCATAATGGGACGGCATTAAAAAAAAAAAAAAAAAAAAAACCCACTGTCTTAGAGTCACTTCCAACTTATGCGACCCTATAGGAGAAAGTAGAACTGCCCCATAGGGTTTCGAAGGCTGTAATACTTACCAGGAACTCTGGTGGCATAGTGGTTAACAGCTTGGCTGCTAACCAAAAAGGTCAGCAGTTCAGATCCACCAGCTGCTCCTTGGAAAACCTATGGGGCAATTCTACTCTGTCCTATAGGGTCGCTATAAGTCAGAATTGGCTCCGTGGCAACAGTTTTTTTTTTTTTTTTTTTTTTTAAATCCTTACGGAAGTAGACTGCCACATCTTTCTCCCAAGGAACCACTGATGGTTTCAAATCACCGACCTTTCAGTTTGCAGTTCAGTACTTTAACCACTGCATCACCAGCACAGACCTTATTAAGTACCTTGAATTCTGTGAAAGTGTGGTCTGGAAAATCAATTATGGAAACCTGTCTCTGTGTCAGCTTGGCTGGCCCACGATTCTCAGTGGTTGGGCAATCATGATGTAGTTTGGCAATCATATAGTGATGTAATCACTTCCACCATGAGATCTGATATAATGTGATCATCTCCATGGTGGGATCTGCCTTGAATCGCCAATCAGTTGAAAGGGAGTTTACTTGGGGATGTGGCCTGCAACCAATATAAGTGGACTTTCTGGCAATGCTTGCTCGCTTTTGCTATGCTCTGGATCCTGCATTTGGCTGTCAGCATCTGACCTCCAGTTCTGGGACTTGGGCAGTAGCCTGCAGATCTTCATCAGCCTTCGCAGCTGTAAGCCAGCAGACTGGAACCTGATTTGTGGATCTTGGGTTCATCAGCCCCTGCAGCTACAGGAGTCAGGAGAAGCCTCCAGCCTGACACCTGATCCACGGACTTGGGACTTGCAAGCCTCTACAACGGCATGCACCATTTCCTTGAGATAAATCTTTCTCTCTATATATAAGCTTCACTGGTTTTGCTTTTCTAGAGAACCCAACCTAAGATACCCTCCTAGATATACTTTGCTGAGTGTTATAGATTGTGTCCCCCAAATATGTACTAATCCTAATCCCCATATCTGTAAACATGACCGTTTGTTAATGGGGTTATACCAGCATAAAGTAGGTCTAAACCTAATCATTCTGAGTTATAAAGAGAGAAGACTAGACAAAGAGACATATAAAAGACAAATGCCAAAGAATTCATGGAACAATCAAAAAGGTTAACCTCCTGAAGCCATTCTGAATTGGGAACTTTTGCCTCCAGAACTGTGAGAAAATAAACTTCTGTTCTTTAAAAACAGTCACTTGTTTTATTTGTTATGGCAGCACTAGGTACGCAAGTATAAGCCCTTTAACCAAATACACTTAAAATATCACCATGGAATGGCATTCAAACCTGCTGTTTGTACTTCCTGGTTCCACTCTAAGGGTCCACTACTGTCTTGATATACTCCCTCCCTATATAAAACTTTTCCTCAGGGAATCTTTTTTTTTTTTTTTAAATCTCAACATAAATGTACACTCACTTTGCTATTCTCTCCAGGATTTCCTTCTTCTTGTTAACAACCAGGAAATTTTTGCTTTTTAAAAATTGATTTGCAATCCTGTTCACTGTGATTTTATGTCGTATGATAACAGAGAACAAGCGTATTATGAGTCCTAACTATAAGGGATTTCAAATTCTATTGTACATGATGTACTCTTTTGGGAATACTGACATTCACTGAAAATTTAAAACATACTTTATGGAATTATAAAACGGAAATAACACACAAAAACTCCTTTCCAGAGAAAATAGCTAAGGGTGAGTATCCCCTTTAAAATTACCTCATGCATGCACACACACACACATTTATGAGTTTGTTTCTACTATGACTGCTACAATCTGATTTTCCAAAACCAATGTTCTTATCATGTAATTATGTCTATGCCGTGGTTTTAACAGCTTCATGCTATAGAAGTATAACAAAACTCAAACTCCTGTAGATGAACACCTATTTTCATTGAAGAAAATATTGCTGTTACTCATTTTTTTTTATAATTATCATGATTTTCAGATCAAAGAGCCCATTATATGTAATGAACACATTTAATACAATTATCAAACTCTCACAAGTTTGTTTTTGGTATTTCTTTCATGGTGTGGGGGAAGAATATGGGGTAGAGAACTTGACAGTATTAATGTGCTTCAAATATGGCATAACCCCTACCTCAGAAGTTTTGGTTAAAAAAAAATACTGCTACAGCATTGCGAAGACAATCATCAGATCTAGATGAACTGCAGAAAATAAGGTATCAATAAGGATTTAAAAGGTTGACCAAAAAAAAAAAAAATGTCATTGGTAATTTGTGGTGCAGGCAATTACTTTGTATGGCCTTCTAACCACAGCCTTGTAACACCCACAAAATGACTGGTTGGGACTGTGCAAATAAGGCACTTGTGACCCCAAGGGGACTGGATAGTTTTGCTAATGCAAAGAACATGGAACTTTGTGGTGGTGGGACAATGCAAACAGAGCACAAAACCCTCAGAAGGGATTGGTCAGTTTTGCCATTCTGATAGGCCTAAAGGGAGCCAATTGTTGAGGCTGGGGAAGGGGGACATCACTACCATCCAGATGAGGAGCCAAGAGTGGAGTTCGTCCTTTGCACCAGGATCCCTGCACTGAGAACCTCCCGAGACCCTGGAGACAGAGAGCTGTAACATTGGAGATGGTGCAAGATGGCAAGAAGCAGCAAGCATAGTTGAGTCCGGCAGCAGAGAAACGGCAGAAACAGGACATTGGCGTGAGACGTCCAGTTGGCTTCCCAGCCCACAGAGCAAGACAGTTGAGTACATTCAGGAAAAGGGCTTGATGGTGGAGTGGGTGCCTCTGGGCACCTGTTGGCAGAGCCAAAGTGCTTTGTGACACTTGCCAAGCACGGCAGAGGTCAGACTGAGAGCAGCTGCCCAGTCGCAATAGCCAAGAAGCAGCTGTACTGACAAAAGAACAGTATCCTGAGTTGTTCTTGTTACTTCCAAGTTTATCCTGATCCTGGATTGTAACCAATTGATCTGTAATAAACCCCATACTCATGAGTATGGTGAGTTCTGTGTGGCCACTGCAATGAATTATAGACCCCAGCTAGGCAGCAGTGTGTGCCATGCAAGGGAGAGCTGGTGTCAGAATAGGTAAAAACGTTGGAGAATGGAAGTATGTCTGACCTCCGCCTCATATGAATCATTCTTGGGCTGATGATGATTATCTCTCCTCCTGAAGTTAGAACAGGTCTGACAACATGCCATTTTTACAAGTAACCACTACTTACACTCTCAAAGTGTTATGGAAAATATCTGCCTTAACATCATTGAATACCCATTCAATTGTTTAATAGGGAGTGACTTGTTGCAAGGTTAACAATTTTTCAGACTACTGCCAGTAAAATCACAGTAGTTCAATTTATATTATATATGACTGATTGAACAGGACACAAAGACCCAAACAATAAGATCCAACTTGAAAATAGAGACTACGGAGAGAACAGGAGCCAATCGCAATACGTTGTTGTTGTGTGCTGGTGAGACAATTCAGACTCATAACGACCCTACAGGACAGAGTAGAACTGCCCCATTGCGTTTCTTAGGCTATGGTCTTTAAGGGAGCAGATTGGCAGGGCTTTTCTCTCATGGAGCCAATGGTGAATTCAAACTGCCAACCTTTAGCAGTAGAGTGCTTAACCATTGTGCAACTAGGCCTTCTTTGGAATCCATAGCTACTCTATCAATATTGCAGATTATAGTATTGAGTGGTTTTCCACATTTAAACTCATGTTTGTTTTCTTGAGTATTCATTTTTACTGGTATGCTTTCTGGTTAAATTTTCAAATATCGTACATTGTCTCTTTTTGATTTAAAATATAAGCATTAAGCATACATATAAAAACTAACCAACAAGGTTCCTACTACCACAGAGCTTACATTCTAGCGGATATTGATTTTGGTATACCCATCATTATACTTTTGCTAAAGACCAGATCAAACTCTTATTCTTCCCAGGCCCTATTTCTTGAGTGTTATCTCATAAATTCCAAAGTTCTGACTGAAGCCTTACTTCACCGCTTATAAAGGTTCTCTGATGTGGGCTTTGCTGAGTGTCAGTCTTTAATAAAACAAATGTTTTCTCCTCTATGAGACCTGATGACTGTAAGAATTTAGGCTGCACATAAAACCCATTAAACCCACTGCTGTCAATTCTGACTCATAGCAATCCCGTAGGACCGGGTAGAACTGCCCCAGAGGGTCTCCAAGGCTGTAAAACTTTACGGAAGCAGAATGCCACCTCTTTCTCCTATGGAGCACTGACGGGTTCTAACTGCCAACCTTGGGGTTAGGAGCCAAGTGCTTTAAACACTGCGCACCAGGGCTTCTATTGGTTGCACATAATTTTTTAAACATTCATTTTGCAAAATTGTTTCCTGTGAGGATTCTGATGGTCTTACCTGTATCACCAACTTCAGAAAATTTATCAGTAGCATGAATTCTGTAAGATTTGATCTCTGACTGAAAACCTTATCACAAACCTCACACTACTAAAGTTTCTCCCCAGTGTGAACTCTCTGGTGACTTTGTAGTTGTGAAGATCGATTAAAGACTTTACCACATACATTACATGTGTACAGTATATCTCCAGTGTGGACACGTTCATGCTGTTGAAGACTTGAGGCCTGACTGAAGTACTTACCACACTTCCCACACTTATATGGTTTCTCTCCTGTGTGAACCCTCTGATGCGTATTAAGATTTTTGCTCCATTTGAAGCCCTTGCCACACTCTTGACATTTGTATGGCTTTTCTTCATTATGGACTCTTTGATGGGCTTGAAGGTGTGAATTCTGACAGAAGCTTTTCCCACAATCTTCACATTTGTAGGGTTTTTCTCCACTGTGGACCCTTTGATGAAGCAAAAGGTGTGAAGCCTGCCTGAAGCCCTTCCCACACTCCTCACATTTATAGGGTTTCTCCCCTGTGTGAACTCTCTGGTGAGTTTGTAGCTGGGAAGATCGACTGAAGACTTTACCACACACATCGCATTTATATGGTTTCTCTCCAGTGTGGACACGCTCATGATGTTGAAGACTTGAGGCGTGAGTGAAGTACTTACCACACTCCTCACACTTATATGGTTTCTCTCCTGTGTGCACCCTATGGTGAGTGTTAAGATTCTCAATCCATTTGAAGCTCTTCCCACACTCTTCACATTTGAATGGTTTTTCTCCACTGTGGACTCTCTGATGGTCCTGAAGATAAGAGGCCTGCCTAAAGCCCTTCCCACACCCCTCACATTTATAAGGTTTCTCTCCTGTGTGGATTCTACGATGAGTGTGAAGATTTGATCTACTACTGAAGTACTTCCCACACTCTACACATTTGAATGGTTTCCATCCACTGTGGACTCTCTGATGGGTCAAAAGATTTCCAGCCTGCCTAAAGCCCTTTCCACACTCTTCACATTTGTATGGTTTCTCACCAGTGTGGATCAGCTGGTGAACTTGAAGTCGTGAACTCCAATTGAAACACTGCCCACACTCCTCACACTTATAAGGTTTCTCTACATTATGGATCTTCTGATGGATTTTAAGATATGAACTCTGACTGAAAACCCTCCCACACACACCACATTCGTATGGTTTCTCTCCAGTGTGGACCCCCTGATGGGAATGCAAATTTGAGCTGTAAATGAAGCTTTTTCCACACATGTTACATTTGTATGGTTTCTCCCCAGTGTGAACACTCAGATGGGCCTGAAATTGCAGAGGATGAATGAAGCTCTTGCCACATTCCTCACACTTACTAGATTTTTCTCCTGTGTGAACCCTCTGATGGATATAAAGATAAGAGTTGCGAGCGAAGCTTTTCCCACACTCCTCACATTTGTAAGGTTTCTCTCCCATATGGACCATGTAATGAGTATTAAGTGCTGCTCTATGATGAAATTTCTTACCACGTGTATCACATTTGAATGTTTTCTCCCTAGAGTGGCTTCTCTGATGTTCCTGAAAATGCAAAAGATTAATAAAACCCCTCCCACATACCTCACAATTATAAGGTTTCCCTTCAGTGTGACCTTTGCAATGAACATTAAACGTCGTTCTATGTCTGAAGCGTTTCCTACATTCTTCACATTTGTACAGTTTCGATACAGTGGGGGTATTCAGATGACTTTGTAGATGTGAGTGCTGACTAAATACCTTACCACACTCATCACGCTGATAGCAGTTCTTTCCCACGTGAATTCTCTGATGATTACGACAACCTGAAACATAACAGAAGCTTTTTCCACACTCACTACAGGTGAGAGACTTCACTTCTGAGTGTAATTGCTGAAGTTCAAAGCTGGAGACATTACTAAAGGTTTTTGTACACTCTTTACACTGGAAGATGTTCTCTCCTGCGTGAATAATAGATAGTCTTCCAGCAACAGGAGAGGGTGAATCACTTTGTTTGTAGAATTGAGACCTATGTACCACAGAATCTTGACACCTGGTTAAGTCACTTGCAATTTGTTGCCAGATACGTGAGCTGGAAAGCTCCTCGTGTGCTCCTGCTGGTGGAACAATCTCCATCTGCCTTGGGTTCTTGCCTCCTGTAAAGACAGAGAATTCAGAAATATAGACAGGTGAAAGATTTGTTGAGGCTTTCAAGACTTCACATTAAAATAAGAGATGAGACATTACTGAACTCAGAGAAGGTTTCAGTTGATCTTCTCTACTGCATATCACATTTTCTGGTTTACATGCCATCAAAATCAAGAGTAGATGCACTGGCCTCCAAACCACCAAGCATTAAGAACACTCATTAGACAACACGCCAACTATGTGAGCTACAATTCAGCAATAAAAGCCTTAATTTTAAAAATTGGTAATATTATACAAATTGTTAACCTGTTGCTACTTGTATTAAATTTCAGTTAGTGTAGAATCCTGGATAGTAAATACGGCACTTAGATAAATCATATGTTGAAAAACAAAAATGAGTCAACAAGGTGTATGCTTTCCTGTGTATATTTTCACTGCATTAAAATTTTTAAAAAATTAGTATATAAGAACTTTAAGGAAAAGCAATAACAGAATCAAAAGTTTGCAAAATTTCAGATTTTTTTTTTCAGTAAACTTCTCAATTAACGAAGGAGCCCCGGTGGCACAGCAGTTAAGCACTGGGCTGTTAACCATTAGGTTGGAGGTTCTAACCCACAGCCACTCTGCTGGAGAAAGATGTGGTGGTCTGTTTCCGTAATGATTTATACCCTTGGAAATTCTATGGAGCAGTTCCACTGTCACGTTGTGTCACTATGAGTTGGAATTGATTTGATGGCAATGGGTTTTTGAAGGAAATTTTTAAGGAGAATGTCACTTTCTGCCTGTAGGAATAGTCAACTAAAATCTACCTCATTTGTTTCAGCAGGCATGTGATCAGTTTGTGTAGAACTCTATCTTGGGTTATTTTATTGGAAAATTACTCCAATGCCTAAAGAACTGAGAGGCCCTCAAATGGTCATAATGACTTGCAGATTTGGCAGAAAAGCACACAATCCCTTACTAACTAAAATGCAGCATATAAGCGGAGAGTGCTCCTTTAGCAGAGAAGATTCCTTCATGAGGACAAAGGGGGAAAAAAGTTGAAGTGATGACATATACTATTCTGAAACCTGACAGTGTTTCAGACTTTCATAATTTATTGAACCAGTACAACCTGATCTTTGACAACAGACACAGAGCTGTGGAGAAAGAAAAGAACAGCGCACAGTGGAATTTTCTGAAAGCCAATCCTATAAAGGGAGTTACATTTGGCCTGAAACTCTATTGAGATAAGATACTTCCATGGATGGTTCCTTACTTCGAGGTCTCTGCTCAACTGTCAGCCCATTAATGAGTTCAATGTAAAATAATAAACCCTGTACACAGCCAATTCACCTCTGGCAATTTCCATACCTCTTGACTATTCTACACAGTATTTATTACCATATGACATTCTATCTAGGTCATTTTTGTTAATTGTATGTCTTTCTGACTACACTGCAAGTATTTATACTATTTCCTGCTTTATAACCACGTCCAGAAGAGTGCATGACACACAGTGGGCATTCAACAAGTGCATGCTGAATGAATAAATAAATCCCTGTTTGACCTTTTTTTGAACATTTAAGTCAAGTCATAGAAACAAAAAGGCTTTTCCACATAAGCTCTGTAAAAGAGGAAAGTAGCAAATAACTGCAGTTTTGCTGGGAAATTGAAAGGCTGTACCAGACACAAAGGTCCACCAAGAGTGATGCTGCTGAGGAGAAAATCAAAGGTAGCAAAAATCACTTCAGTGAAAAGAAAGCACGAGGGCGTATACGCAGGTTCCTTCTGAGGCTTTACGGTATTTCAAAACAGTATTGCAAATCAATGGATGTAGATAAATTGCTCACAACAGTTTTCAAATTGAAGAATGCAGCCCATTAGTAGGCTATGAAATAAACTTAAAGGCTTATAAGTATTAAAAAAGAAAGAAACAGAACAGAAAATACCAGAGCATAATCACAAGCAAAAAAAATGTCATTACAGGAAATGCTTTTTGAAGTCATATAAATGTACACACCCATGAAATGTCTGTACTAGTTACAACAAAACACACCTTATGGCTTATGCTTGAAAATGTTGGAACAGTTTGCTTTAGGAAGTTATGAAGTCCTTAATTAAGCAAAATATTCAAATTGAACATTGAAATGATCAGAAATATAGGCAACACTAAGTTATGTGACTCATGTTCTTCTCACCTTAAATTGGCCCCCTCCAGCACAGGAAAGGGGAAACCCAGGGGTAGTGATATGAGATGTGGACTTTGGAAGAGGAAATAGGCAGCAGCTGTCAAATCTTTAAGGGATATTAACCTTGCCTGGTTATTGTCTATGACCTCAAGAAAGAGATTCTTTTTTCTTTTTGGAGGGCCTGTCTCACAAGTAGACATCAGAATCCTCACATAAAAATCTAGTATTCTGTCCAAGAAGTGAATATGCTCCCCTATGGAAGGCCCTAGGAAAGCCACAGGGAAAGTGCATTACTCAGCACAGTCACAACCACAATGCTGAAGTGTTATCCCAGGATATGGGTCAAGTGTGTGCGTGCACACACACACTCACCACAAGGGCACCTAAGAAAGCAGAACTTGGCTAGGCGTTCATCAGAAGACACAAATTTTTCTGCAACAGCCTCATTCACTCTGGTTTGTGCATCACCTAGCAGATATCTCCTTGACTCAGGAAGACAGAGAGGTCCCTATGTACATTAACTCAATTCCTTACATCAACAAATATGTACAAATATCTGCCATGTATGAGGACAATTCTAGGTCCTGAGGAGTCAGCAATAAACAAAAGTCTTTCACTCTTGGAGATAACATTCCAGTAGGAGTGACAGGTGATAAACAGATAAACAAAAGATAGCTGTGAAAAATAAGACAGGGCAAGGAAAGTAAAGCGAGGGGAGTATTTTAAATAGGGTGGACAGACAAGGCTTCTCTTACGATATTAAAACAGAGCAGAGACCCGAATGAAGTAAGAAATGGGGTGAGCAAGATTTTAGGTGTAAAGCTATTCCAGGCAAAGAGAGAGCAAGTAAACGGTTCTGATGCAAAGGCATCCAGTAGGCAGAATAATGGTCCCACAAAGATTTCCAAATCCAAATTCCTAAAACAAAGAATATGTTAGGATACATGGCAAAAGGAAATTAAGGTGACAAATGGAATTTAAATTGCTAATCAGCTAACCTTAAAATAGTAAGATAATTCTACAAAATCTGGTGGACTCAATATATTTAAAAGGTCCTTAAAAGTGGAAGAGCAAGGCAGGACAGTGAGAAGAAACTGTGACTACAGAATGGTCAGAGTGATGCAATGTTGGTGGCTTTGCAACCGAATGACTGGGGACACAAGACAAGAAATTTGGCAGCTTTTAGAAGCTGTAAAAGAAAGGAAATGGATTTTCCCTACATCCTCAGGAAAGAAGGCAGCCTGGCTAAGATCCTGATTTAGCACAGTGAGACCCATGTTGGACTTCCGAACTACAGAACAATAAGATAATTAACCTGTGTTGTTTTAAGCCACAAAGTTTTCAGTAATTATTTACAGCACCAATAAGAGTAATACAGGGGACCTCATACCATCAAGAAAACAGTACCGGGAGCAGAGCGCATCCTTCGGACTGGGGGCCCTGCGCTGGGAAGCTCCTAGTCCGGGGGAACACTGAAGAGAGGGCCGACAGAGAGGAAAAAGCCTTCCCCTGGAGCTGACGCCCTGAATTTGGACTTTTAGCCTCAATAAACTTCTCTTGGTTAAAACCATCCATTAGTGGTGTTTCTGTTATAGCAGCACTAGATGACTAAGACAGAATTTGGTACCAAGAGAGTGGGGTGCTGCTCTAACAGATACCTAAAATGTGGAAGCGGTTTTAAAACTGTGAATGGATAGATGTGTGGCAGTGACAGAGGACCAGCAGCAGCAGAGAACCTACAGCAGCAGAACCAGGAGACCGGTGAAAGACGGCGCTGGAGCCAACCCATGGAGCGAGAGAGCTGAATGCCTGTGAGCAGGAGGCTTCCTGGTGGAGTGGGGTGCCTCTGGGCACTTACCAGTGGAGCTACTGAGCTTTGGAACACTTGCCCCTGCAGGGAAGATGTGGGCGTGAGGCCCGAGGGCCGAGAGGCCATAGGAAGCAGAAGCTGAAGAGACAAGGGACACAAGAAGCTGAGCTGCTTCAGTCTCAAAAGGTATGGCCATGACCTCAGGGGTTTCAAAGGGTGGAGCCATGGCCTCTGGTGTTTCTAAGGGTGGAGTTGTCACTCCAATAGACTAGGAGAATGGTGCACCTAAAGCCAAGGGAGCAGAGTTGCTGTCCCAGTGGGCCTGGAAGGCAGAGCTGAAGCCCAGGGCCGAGGGGCCTCCACTCAAAATCCAGAGACTGTGGCCAATACCTAGAGTCTGGAGGGCAGGGCTATTGTGTAAATTGTCTCAGAGAACAGAAGATTATTTTCAAAGCCTTGAAGGCTAATGTACTGTGTTCTGCTGACTTGCTTGGTGCCTGTTATCACTTCTTTTCCTCTAGTTTCTCCCATTTATAATGGAAATGTCTAGCTTGTGCCTGTTCTGCCATTGTACCTTTGGAAGCAGATAACTCGTACTCTAGATTTCACAGATGAAGAGGAATTTTTGGATTTTGGAGTTGGAGTTAAGACTTTTACTATGATATGATGGGGTGAATATGTTTTCCATGTTGCAAGGATGTGATTTTTTGGGGGCCAAAGGGTGGAATGTCATGGTTTGAATTACGTCCCTCAAAAAACGTGTGTATCAATTTGGCTAGGTCATGATTCCTGGTACTGTGTGATTTTCCTGTATGTTGTTAACCTGCCTCTATGATGTTAATGAAAGAGGATGGGTGGCAGTTGTGTTAGAAAGGTAGGACCTGATCTACAAGACTGGATTGTGTCCTGAGGCAATCTCTTGAGATATAAAAGACAGAAGTGAGCAGTGAGACAGGGGGACCTCATACCATCAAGAAAGCAGTGCCAGAAGCAGAGTGCATCCTTTGGACCGGGGTCCCTGTGCAGAGAAGCTCCTAGTCCAGGGGAACACTGAAGAGAAGAAAGCCAACAGAGAGGAAAAAGCCTTGCCCTGGAGCTGACGCCCTGAATTTGGACTTTTAGCCTACTTTAACTGTGAGGAAATAAACTTCTCTTCATTAAAACCAAAAAAAAAAAAAAAAAGAGAGAGAGTAATACAACATCTGTGGTACATCTGAGAAACAAGGAGCGCAATGTGGTAGGTACACACTGAATAAGAGTAAAAAGATAAGACAGTGCATTCAAAGAGGAAGTAGGGCCTGAAGACCAGACCATGTAGGATTCTATGAACCACTCAAAGAAATATAAGACCACTAAGTGTTTTGACCCCTACATGGGGGCTTGCATGTTGCTGTGATGCTGGAAGCTATGTGACCAGTATTCAAATACCAGCACATCACCCACAGCAGACAGGTTTCAGCTGAGCTTCCAGACTAAGACAGACTTGGAAGAAGGACCCAGCAGTCTACTTTGGAAAATAATTAACCAGTGAAAACCTTACGAATAGCAGCGGAACACTGTCTGATATAGTGCTGAAAGATGAGCCCCTCAGACTGGAAGGCACTCAAAAGACAACTGGGAAAGAGCTGCCTCCTCAAAGCAGAGTCAACCTTAATGATGCAAATGGAGTCAAGCTTTTGGGACCTTCGTTTCCTGATGTGGCAAGACTCAAAATGAGAAGAAACAGCTGCAAACATCCATTAATAATTGGAATGTGGAATGTACGAAGTATGAATCTAGAAAAACTGGAAATCGTCAAAAATGAAATGGAATGCATAAACATCAATATCCTAGTCATTAGTGAGCTGAAATGGACTGGGTTGGCCATTTTGAATTAGACAATCATATTGTCTACTATACCAGGAATGACAACTTGAAGAGGAATGGCATTGCATTCATCACCAAAAAGAACATTTCAAGATCTATCCTGAAGTACAATGCTGTCAGTGATAGAATAATATCCATATACCTACAAGGAAGACCAGTTAATTCAACTAGTATTCAATTTTATACACAAAACACTAAGGCCAAAGATGAATAAATTAAAGATTTTAAACAATTTCTGCAGTCTGAAATTGATCAACCATGTAATTAGCATGCATTGATAACTACTGGTGATTGGCATGCAATAGTAGGAAACAAAGAAGAAGCATCAGTAGTTGGAAAATAATGGTCTTGGTGATAGAAACGATGCCAGAGATCACATGATAGAATTTTGCAAGACCAACGACTTCTTCATTGCAAATACCTTTTTTCAACAACATAAACAGCGACTATACACATGGACCTTGCCAGATGGAATATACAGGAATCAAACTGACTACATTTGTGGAAAGAGACAATGGAAGAGCTCAATATCATCAGGCAGAACAAGGCCAGGGGCCGACTGCAAAACAGACCATCAACTGCTCGTATGCAAGTTCAAGTTGAAATTGAAGAAAATTAGAGGAAGTCCATGACAGCCAAATTACAACCTTGAGAATATCCCACCTGAATTTAGAGACCATCTCAAGAATCGATTTGACACATTGAACACTAATGACCGAAGACCAGATGAGTTGTGGAATGACATCAAGGACATCATACATGAAGAAAGCAAGAGGTCATTAAGAAGACAGGAAAGAAAGAAAAGACCAAAATGGATGTCAGAAGAGACTCTGAAACTTGCTCTTGAACGTCAAGTAGCTAAAGCAAATGGAAGAAATGATGAAGTAAAAGAACTGAACAGAAGATTTCAAAGGGGAACTGGAGAAGATAAAGTAAAGTATTATAATGACATGTGCAAAGACCTGGAAATAGAAACCCAAAAGGGAAAAACATGCTCAGCATTTCTCAAGCTGAAAAAACTTAAGAAAATATTCAAGTCTCAGGATGCAACAGTGAAGGATTCTACGGGGAAAATATTAAATGACGTAGCAAGCATCAAAAGAAGATGGAAAGAATACTCGAGTCACTATACCAAAAAGAACTGGTTGACATTCAACCATTTCAGGAGGCAGCATAAGATCAGGAACTGATGGTACTGAAGAAAGAAGTCCAAGCTGCACTGAAGGCATTGGCGAAAAACAAGGCTCCAGGAATGGACAGAATACCAATTGAGATATTTCAACAAACAGATGCAACACTGGAAGTGCTCACTCGTCTATGCCAAGAAATTTGGAAGACAGCTACCTTCTCAACCTACTGGAAGAAATCCATATTTATGCTTATTCCCAAGAAAGGCGATTCAACCAAATGCAGAAATTATCCAACGATATCATTGATATCACACACAAGATCTTGCTGAAATCATTCAAAAGCGGCTGCAACTTTATATAGACATGAAACTACCAGAAATTCAAGTCGGATTCAGAAGAGGAAGTGGAACCTGGGATATCATAAGTGATGTTAGATGGATCCTGGCTGAAAGGAGAGAATACCAGAAAGATGTTTACCTGTATGTTATTGACTATACAAAGGCATTCAACTTTGTGGATCCTAACAAACTATGGATAACACTGCAAAGAATGGGAATTCCAGAACACTTAATTGTGCTCATGAGGAACCTGTATATCGATCAAGAGGCAGTCATTTGCACAGGACAAGCGGGAACTGTGTGGTTTAAAGTCAGGAAAGGTGTGCGTCAGGGTTGTATCCTTTCACTACACCTATTCAATCTGTATGCTGACCAAGTACTCTGAGAAGCTAGTCTATATAAGGAACGGGGCATCAGGATTGGAGGAAGACTCATTAACAACCTGTGTTATGCAAATGACACGACCTTGTTTGCTGAAAGTGAAGAGGTTTGAAGAACTTACTGATGAAGATCAAAAACCACAGCCTTCTGTATGGATTACACCTCAACATTAAGAAAACAAAAATCCTCACAACTGGACCAATAAACAACATCATGATAAACAGAGAAAATATTGAAGTTGTCAAGGATTTCATTTTACTTGGATCCGCAATCAACACCCATGGAAGCAGCTGTCAAGAAATCAAATGATGCATTGCATTGGAAAAATCTGCTGCAAAAGACCTCTTTAAAGTGTTGAAAAGTAAAGACGTAACCTTGAAAACTAAGGTGTGCCTGACCCAAGCTATGGTGTTTTCAACTGCCTTATATGCATACGAAAGTTGGACCATAAATAAGGAAGACCAAAGAAGATGTGATGCTTTTGAACTGTGTTGTTGGCGAAGAATATTGAATATACCATGGACTGCCAAAAGAAGGAACAAATCTGTGTTGGAAGAAGTACAACCAGAATGCTCCTTGGATGCAATGATGGTGAGACTATGTCTCACATACTTTGGATACGTTATCAGGAGGGATCAATCTCTGGAGAAGGACATCATGCTTGGTAAAGTAGAGGGTCAGCAAAAAAGAGGAAGACCCTCAATAAGGTGGGCTGACACAGTGGCTGCAAAAATGGGCTCAAGCATAACAATTGTGAGGATGGCGCAGGACCAGGCGGTGTTTCATTCTGTTGTACATGGGGTCACTATGAATTGGAATTGACTCAAAGGCATCTAACAAAAACTACAAGTGGTTTGAGTAGAGGAATGACTTGACTTGACTTACATTTCCCATAGGTCACTTCAGTGGCTATATGGCAAACAGAATTTAGGAGGGAAAGGGTGCAAGTGGGGTCAATCAGTACAGGGGCTGTTGCAATAATCCAGGAGAGAGGTTTGGCAATTTCGATCAGGGTAATGACAACAGGGGAGGCAGAAAGTAAATGAAACGGACAATAATCTGCAAGGATTCCAGTGGCTGGTTCTGATCTGAATTCCTTTGCCTTTAGGTTGCTGTCTTCATCACTGAAAGCCTTTTTCCCTCTTTCTAAGTGACATACAGGAGCCCCAACGGTGCAATGATTAAGTGCTCGGCTGCTATCCAAAAAGTTGGCTGTTCAAACCTACCAGCTGCTCCATAAAAGAAGGATGTGGTAGTCTGCTTCTGTGAAGATTACATCCTTGGAACCTGTCTTAGTTATCTAGTGCTGCTACAACAGAAATACCACAAGTGGATAGTTTTAATGAAGAGAAGTTTATTTCCTCATAGTCAAAGTAGGCTAAAAGTCCAAATTCAGGGTGTCA